AAAATTCTGCAAGTTAGCATAGACTTGAATATAACCACAGTATGAAGGATAACCAACCCGTTCCTGATCATCCTGTCCTAGTGGCCTGTATCTTGCAATCTTTGTAGGATCCCAGTACTGTGGCAGTTCAGCAGTCCACATCCTGGATGATCCGCTGCAAAAAGAACAAATTAAATTGTGTGTTAGCTGGTTGTTTAGCTGTTATTGATTTGTCAAACTACCAAAAATGGGTTAACCATGCAGAAAGGACTGTGGATAAGTTTGTGCCCTGACATGGTTATCACAAATTGTTAAGCTTCACACTTCTATGGATTGACATTCAAAGTCATACATAAAAGAAATATGAATCGTAGTATATAGGTTGTTGATATAAAATGTTGACTCGAATGCTCCGGTTTTATACAATGCAGAATAACATTAGACCCAAATAAAAAATGGATATTCAAAGCTGATACTAGCACATACCTGTAAAACCAGCAACAGATCAGTTAGGATGCTGTGACAAAAATCATGTAATCTTGTGTGTTGTACTCCCTCAGATTTCCCGCCAAAATATGGAGCCAAAACTGAGAGCCAATCCGGGGTTGATATCATTGCTCCTCCCACTCGAGAGGGTGACTGGAAGTCAATCAGCCTGCTACATGTTGCATCTCATGGGAGGTGTCAACATGATTTGACCCCTAAATGCCCTGGCACACTCACCAAAAAGGGAAACCACAAGTACCATTGTGCCTTCATGACCTTTAAAGTACACCTTATGTGTAAGGATCTTTCTGTTAAGTTTCTTTTTGTCACTTGTAAATGTAATGGGTGACACATATACCTGTATGCATACAAAATTTCTAAATTACAAATTGTACATAAATCCAGTGCAGTTTTAAGGCTTGGAAACCAAATTTTTGTAAGTCATTCTTCTAGTCACTTACATACGAAGTTGAAACAACACTGTCTCAATCAATGTACTTCGACATTCATGGAGCAAAAATGCCCCAAATACCTGATGAAAAATGGTAACTGGAAGGACCTGGATTGGTTTTTAAGCTACCACCCAGAAATTAAAGCACTAATCCAATGGGGCTTGTTTCTGCAGTTTTACATGCCTTAATTAAAAAAAAACTGATTCAGATTTGCTAATGTGAGACAGTATGTGTCAATAATATACAGATTACCAGACCTGTATCAGTATATTTCCTAGCCTGGATGCCAGACCCAAAGCACACTGGATTTCCAGTTTAGCTGCCTGAAATTGCATTCATTTTAGAATGCCTTAAAACAAAAAAGACACCTTGTTCTCACGTGTACATCTGCCTTTGGGAAAATACTTTTTAAAGAAGGACAAAGTGAGAACAACAAGGCAAATTCATGTTGTAATAATATTCAAGGACTGGTGATGTTACATGTGAAAAGAGTTTGGTCCCAATCATTATTAAATCATTTAGAAGTGACAAGTGTTCAAAACTGTTGAGTTCAAAAGGTCTGAGTCAAGCCCAGGTACTGTAATTGCCATGGGAGTTGATGAAGCCTGGACATGAGCACCACACAACTCTAAATCAGATGACCTGGGACATGTGCACTGAAATTTGGGGTTAAGATGTCCTAAAAAGAAAAGCTGACAGAGATTCATGAACTTAAGATTCGCAGAAAGACACGCACAAGACAAAGAAACAGACTACATGGAGTGTACTCTGATGATAAAAACAAGTGTCCATAGGCAGCCCTGAAGTTTTATATTTGCAGATTAAGAACAGTATAGTGTATGTAAACAGTGTGTGATCACACCGAAAAACCGTCTACCCACAATACTCTGCCAGCTGGAGGTATACCTCCTTCACGAAGTAACAAACTGTGAGATGTGGCGATTTTTGGGCCTTCAACTTTTTACCCCACCCATAACATTGGAGATTCTTATGACTCAAGCAGGCAGACATTCTAGCAAAGGAGACAGGCTTGAAATGCTTGCATTATACTGTTGTCAACTTCAATCTCCTCCCCACACACACACACACACCAGGGGCGACTGTGGGG